AAGTATTTATTTAAAAAAATATTTTATTAAATACTTTGAGTATTTTCAAAATAAGATTAAAAATTTTATATTAGTATAAAATGGATCATTATTTTAAATATGGATGCAATAATTAATTTCACACAGAATTAACAAATAAATTAAATAAGAATTATAAATTACTCACGTCACGGTTTCCCGACGCCTCCTCGGGCCTTTTCCTCCTCTCTTGTTCGTCCTTTGCTGTTCCTTCATGGCACTGAATACTCACTCGCGAAAACACGGTTAATTAAGATTGCGTTCGCACTAGAATACGATCGCGCGGCACTTTAGATGGCACTCCAACGATATTAATCATATAATACGCTTTATTATATTGCGACATATCAGAAAACGTCGCGAAAATAACGCTTGTGCGATGCTATGATTTGCTCATTCGACATTTGAGAATCACGCTAATTTCATGCGTCAATCTCTGTTAAGTACTCTTGATTTTACGGTGCAATAAATCGAGCACGCAAATCGAGTTAATGGCTAATCAAGACGCTATAACAGCGGGAATTAATTAATGACACAAATTGATAATTCCTAATTAGTGTCATTATTGTATGAATAATCATGAATAATCGTGTTTGTGATATCAAAAATTGTCGCAGTACAATTTCGAGAGTAATACGTAGCGTCTCATGCTGCTACCTTTCCGCTCGAGTCACGCGACACGAATGACAACACGTCGACCGTACATAAACAATGTCAACATACACAAAGATATACATCACAAAAGACAAATAATACACGAATCGAGTGATTAAAGTATCGAAATGCCGTGATACATCAATTTTACATCTATTGATTTAATTATGTAAAAATTCCCAAATCAATCCCTGGGATTAATTAATTCTTGCGATTATCGCGTTGTAACCAGCCATTATTAACTCGATCCGCGTAATATCGTGCGATGTCAAGACAAAAGTTGCAGGCATTATTTCTGAATTTCTCACTTTTAGTAAGCATCGCGTATATAATAGGTCGACTTCGAGCCGAATGGCAATGCGACGCATTGAATTAATAAATATAATCATTCTTAATCATACAGATATTTTAATATACTTGTCAACCGTATAGTAAAACATCACGTTTATACTATATCAATAAACTGAAACTGAAACTGTGTGTTTTATGTGATTTATTTGATTGAAATCTATGACGCAAGTAATCAGCAAAGCAACGATATATTTTCGGATATTGCATTCTGTGAATATTTATCTTTAATTTTCGAGTATCGAGTAAAACGTTTTTGAACGAGCGTAATTTTCGCGATATTGTCCAATGTGTCGTAATAATTATATAAAAAAGTGCGCGTTTAACGTCGCAAGAGTGCCGTTTAAAGTAGCATGCGATCGTTGTATTCTAGTAATTAGCTCTATCGTAATTAACTGTGTTTTCGCGAATGAGTATTCAACGCCATGAAAAGGAGCAACAAAGGACGAGAAAGAGAAAAAGAGGAGATCCGATAGAACATCGAGCGACGGTAGAACAATCGTTATCATATTTTATTATGGTTTATACTTTATACGTACCTAAATAAAATAATTTATTATACATATAAAATATCAAAAGCAAAAGAAAAATATTGTTAAGTAAATATGTATAGCAACATATAATGCGGAATTTTTCGTAAAAATTTTGGGACTACCATGTTTTTCAGTTCTCCTGTTGTTTATTTGACTCAAGTCTCTATGTTCTTTTTTTCTCGCAATCTTATCGTTTTGCATATATACGTAGTTATTTCTGCAGGCCTGTTTAGTGTCAGTAATATGTATTGCAAACTTTAACGAAATGATTTCCATTACGCAAATGCTCATGAATTAAATATTCGCAATGAAATTCTTAAGCACAAAGATGGGTGTAACTATTATTTGATTTGCACATAATAACGACTTTCTACGTATAATCATCATGATAGATTCTAATAGCACATTATGCAATATGCATGTTAAAAATGCACGGAAAATAGTTACTGCGCAAAAGTTGCGATAATAAACATTTTTCTCTTTGGCGATTATTATACAAATCTTATCGGCACGATAATATTTTATAATTTCGCTATTTTAAGTTAATGTTCCGTTTGGTTGTGTCAAATTCAAATAATATAATCTATATAATCCAAATTATATAAAATTGCAAGGTTTTACGTTAGGCTTATATTAACAATGTTGAAATATTATTACTTATTATCTTGCCCTCATTTGTTACGTAATAACTTATTTATAGATGTATATATGTGTTTGGAAAATCATTTTTTTGGCAAAAATAATATTATATATTTCATTTTTCGGATTTAAACGATAAAATGTCCATTTTCTTCCAGTTATTATTTTTCTCTTAATTAAATATAATTAATAGTTTCATATAAAAATTAATAGAAGTGAATATATAAATATTTTTTATTATACACATATTTGTATATATCCTTCCATTAATTATATATCTTATTAAAAATATAAATCAAATTTACTCATAGAAAAATTAGATTTATTAACATTTATCATCCTGCTAAACATATTGTGTAGCGAACTCGTTTGGTAAACTGAAAAAGCAAGAAAAATTCAATTTTGTGATCTACTTTTGTCCCAAATATGCAAGTCAGTCAAAAATGATTATGACGGAATTTTCCGTTCGAAACCGGCTCAACTTTTAGGTCGAAATCTTTCGGCTTGTATAACCGGCGATCGTAAAAATGCATCATATTTTCTTTCTGTAGCAAGTCCGTGACGTAGCTTTGCACCATTCACTTCGTGTTAAAACACGCTTTCGCAATAGCAAAAGTCCGATCGCTATAATCCACGGCTGTAGCGAGACAGTCCGCAGCTGTCCCTGGCACTCTGATATTTCATTTTTTTTTTCTCCTACCTGATCCCGTTTGTATATCCGTTTCTTTGACGCACGACAAGGCACGAGACAAGATTTGCGCCGATCTATGCGATTATTACACGGCGATCGTTTCGTGTGTGTAATATATATGATATATATAATATATACTAAAATACATACAAGAAATCGTGTATTATTACACATCGCGAAATGCGGTTTTATAAATTTCTTTTTTACACTGTAAGTGGAAGAAGTCGCAGCTGCAACGATTCTGGAAAAAGAAAATTGTAATCTACTTGCTCAGAATAATCCGTGAGGTTTTTCTTATCGTGTTCCCTTAATCCGATTGACCTACTCCGTCCTTCGTTTCTCGCAGACAGTGAATTTTCTCAACGCGACGATATTTTATCGTTATTATATCTATCTGTCATTTACATAATACTTTATTGAACTGATTCATGCGTTCAATTTTTATTTTTTTTATCAAGTTGTTTAATCTTTATGTCCTGAATGTGAAAATCGAGTAAAATTAATATAAATCCGCTTTAATAATAACAAATAATGATTTATTTATATATATTTTTCATCTTTCATAATAACACGATATACGTTAAAATGCTTCCTGATTAAAAACTGCCACACATTTTTTAATTTTTGATATTTTAAAAGAGAGATTTAACAGCAGACATTTATCATCCATTTGCTGGTTTAAATCCGATATATACGGGCGAATATATGTTTATCCTCTTTCGAAAACAAAAAGATTCACAAGCTTTCTACCATCGGAATAATAATTCTTCATTTCAAGTTAATCATTCTTCTCATATTCCGGCCAAACAAATATTGGGAAAAAATCGAGTTTTTAAAGCCAATATTACAAAGTGACTAATCAAGGAGGTATACAATTCACGTATTATGAATGGAAGAAGGAGGCTGCGATAATCCTCGTTTTTCCTCTCGGTCCTTTAATCCATCGGTTACGTGTATCTTTTGCTTTTCGTGCGTTCAGCGATGCACGTCAAGGAGCGGAATTCTCGCGCGCGCTCTCCCGTGCACGCGTGTGCGGCGGCGGCTCGCAAGGATACACGCACGTGCGCGCGCACGCGCATCCGTGCGCGACGACGGCGGCGGCCAGTAGTGAAAGTCGAGACTTCGCGCGCGCGGCTTTGCGCAACAAGATCGCAACGTTGTCTCCTTCGGATACTGGTTCGACTTTAAAGGCTCGATCGCAGGAAGGCATCGAGACATTTGGCGTGACTGGGTGTTCACGTCATACTTCCCTTCCAAGAACGCGAGCGATTGAAGAAATGTCATTAGAGTTAGAGAGGAAGATGTTATAGAACTTGACTTTGAAATAAGTTGATATCATGTATTTGTACAGAAATTTTTTACAGAATTTTCTGTGGATTTGTTATTATCTTTCAATTAAGGTTACTTTTAGTAGAGCTTAAAAAAATTTTAATTATAGTTAAAAAATTAATTTAGTCAAGTTAAAACAAATTTAGAAATTTTAAAAAAATTTAGAAATTTTATAATAAAGTTAAAAAAAGCTGAAATATATTAAAGCAATTCTTAGAATATATTGTATTATATATATTATGTCTATTAATATTACGCGTTTATATATCACCATTAAAAAAATTATACATGTTACTTGATTTTCCTAAACGTCCATTACTCTGTTCTTAAGATGATACACAGTTTCTTTTAGTTTCAAGCTATGTCACTTTACAGACATAACAAAAAAAATTGCTTTAATTTCAAGTTATGAATATTATTTCACAAATATTAGCATCGCGATCGTATTATTTCCTGTTTAATATTTTTCTTAATAGTTTTATTGATTTATTTTTATTTTTCAAGCGTGTTATTTTCTGCCACGTTTTAGAATGAGCCTTTCTGTCAGGAGAAAAATTTATGAACTCTCGAGACACGAATAAGCACTGACCAAGTGTTACTAACTTCCGAATCGTAACGACAGCTGCTTGGCTTTTTTTTTTAATTTTGTATGTTTTCTATTATCAATCAACATTAGTAAGTCATATGACGGTTCTTCTCGAAATATTATATATATTAACATTTTTTTTTCATAAGAAAAGAAATTTCTTTTTTCATTAAAAAAAATTATAAGACGCTGAAATTATAGATATGTATCTCTTTGTTGTTTTCTCATTGCTTTGTTTCTCCTAAATTACTATCTCGAATAATTAATATGTACTTGTCTGCCTTGATTTATGAATCCTTCCATTCACTATCTTCCCCTTATTTCTACGTGCCTTCCTTCTTTTAGTAATAAAATGTATCCGACATAATAAAACATGCAGCGCATCTCTTATTCCACGCGAATTGTCGTCACCAATCATACTTTTTATGTAATAGTTCCGCGAAAAATATAAGTCACCCATTGCTGCATCACCGACATTCGTAAGTAATTTCGCCGGCGACGTGTTTACAAGCATACGAGAAAAGTTTTGTCATCGTTTCCTAGCAGAAATAAACTCGACGAGAGACACGTAAACCTTTAAATATTTAAATAGCTCGGGGAATTATTTTAAGAGGAAAATCGCGCGAGAGCGAATGATTAGGACGCATGCGTGATTTATTTCGGTGCGAGTTATCGAGATGATCATTCTTAGCATTCTTTCACTCTTCGTTTTTAAATGCATCGCCTTCTTTTTGCGTTATAACTTTTATAACGGGCTGTCACGTATACGCGCGTTTTTTATTAAAAATATCCCGTTAAAAAAAGTTTGGAAATTATTTTTTACTTCTGAGAGATACACGCGCCATGTTATTTCAAAGCATATATTGTAGTAATACTTTATTCGCGACTTGTCGACCTGAGAAAGTTTCTTCATATTTGCATATTTTTCACATATATATTTATAAAGTCTCTTCAGATGAAATATGTGGGAGAACATTTATTAAATTAAAAAATCTCTGTTATTTATTTTTATCTTTACTAATGTTAAGATTTATCTTCGCTCAAACACATTTTCCGCTCCAACTTTGAATAATCGTGTTTTGCTTGAATAAGAAAGCTGCATGAAAAATCTATCTCGGCCTTTTACACTAGAAAATTTATAATATTTCGAGAAAGCAAATTCTATAAACACATTTTCCCTCCACGACTATATCAGTGTATATATGTATGTATATAGGAAATAAGTTTTTTATCTCCGTTTTTTTATCTAAATATTAATTGGAAGCTTTATTTATTTTGTTTCACGTTGCAGATCAAATTTCCAGCAGCTGACATAAAATATCTTTCTCCAAGAGAGAAATGATCAACTTTCTCCCGAGCACGGAGCGATTTTCTTGAAAATCTAAAATTCTTTGTGCTCTAGACGCGTACAATGTCATAAGATTTAAGATTAGATTTTTCTTTTGCAAAGGAGACTTTAACTTTACATATGTAATTAAAAATGCAAATTAATGTTTACTTGGAATTATAAAAAGTAAAAATAATCTCTTTTTCATTTATTCGCAATCTCTGAAATTTATTCTCTCTCGATATGTATTTAGATTATCATTGAAAGTCGCGACTGGTCGACCTGAGAAAGTTTCTACATATCTGCATATTTTTCACATATATATTTATAAATTCGGTTAAAATGTGTGTAAGAGAATATTTATTAAATTTCCAACATTTTTCAACATTTATTAAAAAATCTCTGTTACGTATTTTTATCTTTACTAATGTTAAAGGTTTATCTTCGCTCAATGTGATAATTCAATCATTAATATCTCGAGAAAGTCACAATTGCTAAAGCATCCTATATTATTCGGTTTATATTCCGCGACCAAGGCGATGCGATGTAGGATCGTGTTGGCGGTAAAATCGCGTGGGATATCTCTCTATCTGACCGTCATCGAAAGCCTTCGCGAATTCTTTCGCTGACGATCCTCATTATCCTCCTCGTCGCGAAGCGCGAGCACGTCCGCGCGGCTTACACGGGCCGTATACACGTGTAAAAGCGTACGTATTCGAACCACATATGTACCTATGTACTATGGAGTCTTGTAATCGGTACGACGCTCACGTGCCATCGCCCAAAAGGAATATCGGTGAGCGAGTGCAGTGTGGTCTGACTTTAAGAAAATTGGTCGTATAGTTGTGTGTCAATAGATCCGCGGGTGTGTTTGTGTATATTTGTATCTGTGGGTGTGTGTTTGTGTGACAGGAAACGGCCAAGGTTAGCGACGCATCATCGTACTGTGTCATGGAAGAATCGATTACGCGTCGAGCGTGTATCTCTGCCAGAGAAAAGTGTGCCGCAGGACGATGCGGAAAAGTTATATTAAATCTGGTTGACGTTGCCTAACTTTGAGAGTTTGCAACATCTTCTTCTTGTTCCTAGAACGCGCATCTTCGGAACAAAGCCAATGTATTTTTTTTTTCTTTCTTTCTTTCTTTCGCGCCGAGGATAACGGCAAGGAATAAAATTTGATATGGTTAATATTTTCTGAGAGGCGTCTCTCCATAAATCTTTCGGGGTACCTTTTTAATCTCACGCTTCATCTACCCCATTGCGAGTCTCGTCTTCTTCTCTTTACGTTCGGGTATCGTAGAGCGCACATTCTCAGATGCAATTATGGAGTACAGCCTAATAAAAGCCCTTTCGCGAGGCTATAAAGAATTCCGAAGTGCATGTTAGAAACACAGAGTAACGATAAGAGATGTTAATTATGTATTTCTGGTAATAATATGTTTCGGTAGAAAAATAGGCATCTCTTTAATTACTCCGAATATAAGGAAGCTACTAAAGCACGCTATATAACGATCCGGTTCGATGCTCTCAGATCGACTAATCCTCACCGGTAGAAGTTCCTGTTAACTTTGTGATTTATGGATCGCGTTAGTTCATTCCTCTAGAATAACAGTTCAAACTGAATTATTGGTGATATTCCAACATCGAACTGACAACCATTAGATTGTCTCAAAACAAAGCATATTGGATATAAATACAGTATAGATCGGTATTATATATAAAAATACTATCGTATTTTTTGTCAAAAAATAAGCATCTTTTATTGCACTGAAGTTGCTTATTTTTTGACAAATAAAACTGATCTGTCCATATTTTTTTTAAATATGATATATAATATGATATAATATAGTGTAATACTACTTCAACTTGTACAGAACACCTTATACAGAGATCTTGGTTCCCCTATTTTGTTTCCCCCATTGATATATGTATAAGATGACCACAAATATTTACGCACTTGTGTGCCACGCAGGAGCATGTCGCGGATTTGTAACCACTGTGTATTATTAGCCGTCAATCGTGGTCGCGCACGCGTCTTGTCGCAATGTCCGCATATTTCACGCTCCGCCGAGATAACTTTCGCTAAAGTAATTCCCGTCATGTTACTTTGGTATTTCAGAACAGCGCGCCATGCGTCATCAATCTTAAAGAAACGAGGAACGAGGACCCGGGACGAGGAATCTGCGATCGGTAAGCGGCTAAAGCGTCGAAGGTATGTACGTCAGGACACAATCCTGATTAAGTAACTTTAATTTAAAAAATTGTCTACTTGTTTAGTTTTCTATTCCCTGCGATTTTGTCTAATAATATATCTTCAAATGTAAATCGCCGCGTACGAGAATTTTTCGAGATCAATCCTCGTATAAGTATATATAATTACGGGAGCAAATAAAATCAATCTCAATTATTTCCAAGAGCGATACTCGATCTTAAGAGTAAATTCTGTCGAGAAGAAAACTTGTCAAAAGCGGGACGAAGAGCAAAGCTGAAATGTATTTGAAAATTATTCCAATACAAACAAATTTTCGCCTTCATAAATTAATTTATTGATCTCCTTTCGAATATATATTCTGATTATATATAAATGATAAATAGAAAAAAGTAGAAAAAAATTGAGAGTTAATCGCACAATGAGAGTTATCATCTCCGCGATCGAGTTTTCGTGATATCGGATTTGGCAGAAAATGTTTACGCTGTACTTGACATTCGCAATATCCTCGATTTAGGGTTGGAAAATTCGCGATAGCGGGGATAAGCAACGACACTCGGTGCAGCCGAGTCAGTATAACCGGGCACTCTGTTATACCGCGAGCGCGTATTATCGCGGTGCGGTCTAACGGTGCAGCCGGTCCGGCAACGCGAGTGCATCGAAGCGTGCCCGAGACTCTCCTTCGTTCGCGGTCCTGCATCACGGGTTTGTCGGCAGTCATAGTTAGAGAGAGAGAGAGAGAGAGAGAAGGACGACCGCGAAATAATCCCTTCGATTTCTCGCGCGTTTTCCTCGCCCGCACCCGCGAAATGAAAGCCAGCTAGGACACAGACATGGACCATTTTACGTTAAAAAAATTTGGGTTATAATTCAAATACGCATGTACAAAGAACGACTTTGTACGCGGGCAATTTCCGCTCTGAAAAATAAATTTAATAAACGCGTGTGTATTTTCGCGATAGCTTCGATAATATCATTAATTCTACTCGCGATATGATGGAGAGGGTGAGTACGAGGGTGAATCATTGATTGAGAGGCACGTATCACTAAACATAATTTTGTTTAGACTAAAAAATATTTTTGCGCGATTGTCATTAAGAATTATGAATAAATGGAACCGCGAATAGAGAGAGGAGCCTTGTCTTAAACTTTCTGCACGGATCGCCGAGTTTCTACCCTAACGGTATCCTCGATAGAACTTATTTTCACAGAAAAGTCGAGTCATGCCCTTTCCACAACGATCGATTCGCTTACATTTCGATGCAACGTGCGAGACTTTATTGCGATTGTATCGTGCTCATCCATCAGTCTCAATCCTCTCGCGTCACTGAGAGATGTTGAGATACCTTTGGAATAGCCATTATCCGTTCAGCAGCGAGGCCATTAAAAAAGATGCGATTGATATCCGGCCTTCCGCTGGCGCAATCTCGACTTCCTCATGCAGCCGGCTACCGTGTCCGGCAAAGAATAAAAAAAAGAAAGAAAGAAAGAAAGAACCGTAACAAGTTTCTCAGCAGCGACTATCCTTCAATACTTCGTAATATCGTGGATTTAGGAAGACAATAATAGCTCCGCAGTTTATTTACTATAGCGCCGTATTACGTTACGCAATTCCGCAATGTGTGAAGGATTCTTGTTAACGATCATAATAATTTTTGCGACGTACCAGATTAAAAAAAAAAAAAAAATTCTGGTTTCCTCTCTGTCTTTATATCTGCCAAAATTTTACGGACGTTAAATATGATAATCAAATTAAAGTATTTGTTTGGTGGAGTAAATTTTTGGGAAAAACAATATATAAAACAATATTTTATATATTCTGCGAATCTCTCTGTTATTCATTCTTATCCTTAAAAGTACAAAAATAATTTGTATCCCTACCTTGTGATTCACTTTTACACTCACTCTCTCCATCATATCGTGAGTAGAATTAATGATATTATATCGAAGCTTGATAAGTAGCAGGGTTGTTATTTTCAATTTCGAGATACTGCCAAAGACAAACGTTCGAAGAGAACGAGAATAATTAAGGACTATAAAATTATTTGCGTAATAGGCATCTTAAAGCATGGCACGAGTACCTCGTATCTCAGCAGCCGGCGGGAGACTGGGAGAAGTGTAATATTACCGAAGGGACTGTAATATGATTTAGCGCTCAGGCTTTACAGTGCCGCGCGTTAAGAGATTTTTTTTTTATTTCGATTCTCAGCCTCCTCGTACGCGATATGCTAATGCGGCTGTAAGACGATATGGGTTGATAGTATCGCGGTATAACATCGCCAATTAAATCGTACTTCGTTATTTCCTATTAACTGTTGTTTCTTTTTCAACGTGTATATAGCACATCAATTAAATAATTAAGTAACCGCGCGCGATTCGCTGTGGCACGTTCGGAGAAAGGAAACGCAGGAAGCAGGAAATAGTTAGAATCGCCATGAGACTTCTCACGCGTTACTTTCTGCGTTCGCATTCGAGAACGTGGCTCCTCTCCGTATAAATACGAAGCTGTAAAATCTTTAATGAGCTTTAACAGGCCGTCCCGTGATCCGCCATTTTGCGATTTTACGAAAGGATTCTCGCGATCGTTTATAATTTATACAATGCGTGGAACGTTCTTTTACAAAATTATTTTTTTTATGCGTTAAATGGACCATCATTTACTCGTGTGAATATTAAATTAAATCTCCTGATATATATCTTCTTGAAATGTGTTAAGAGTATTTATTTAAAAAGAATATTTTATTTATTTACTTGTGTGTGAATAATTGTTTTGTATTTAAAGTAAAAATGTGTATGTTAAAAATATTCTTTTATTATTTATATTTAAATTACAAATAAACCATCAAATTTTCGCTGACGATAAATTAATTTATTAACTCGCCGTCGATAAAAGAAACAATAAATCTGAAACGGCCCATGCATCTTGTTATTTTGGCATAATTTACTATAACACTCATTACACGTGTCTCGAAATACGCGTTTTACTAATCGCTTCCAATGTGATTTATATATGTATATTGCGTCACACTCAATTAATATAACTATTTCTAGCCCATGTGATGTTTGGCACTAATAAATAGCCCATCATATCCGTCACTCCAGTCGATTACTCTTGAATTATGCACTCACCGCGCATTTAGGTCCGCAGTAGTTTTTTAGGAGTAGGGACGTCCATCGATATAAATATTGCTGTTCGAATCTATTTTTACTCTTAACGATTGTATGTGTATTGTGTGTGTGTGTTTGATGGCCGCTCCAATATTTAAATTGTCATTCTGCATATCTATAGCGCGACAATGCCCATTTTCAAATACATCGTTTATTATTCGTTATTTTATATTTTCATATTTTATATTTTCTACTTTATTATTTTTTATTTCATATTTTATATTTTTGCTTAAATCTTTCTTATTTTTCAAATCGCGTAAAAGCATCTTAAAAATCTCTTATTCTTGCTCGCTTAAAGTTGTTTGATCGATGCTAATCTCTCTGTTCTTTTTTCGAATAACAGAAATATATTCCAAGTAGATGGACGAATATGATATCCGTTGACGATTTCTTTTTCTGGTATTTTCGTTCAATGTAGCAGTGAACGTTAGTGCTCGCAGGGCGAGACGATGCGACCAGGACTGTTCGCGAGATTCTCACGCGCTACTAAATACACAGCGGGGCGAATAACCAACGACGGACGATTTGCTAGGCGTTGTCCAGTTTTCAGCAAACGGAATCGCGAATTCGCCGGCAACGACGATGGCAGTGATTCACGCGTTTCCACGCGAGTGTATTTTAACCAGGAGTATATTTTTACCGTCGTCTGTGACGTTTACGACGACGCGCCATCGTGCATACCGGCGTACGATCGTGCATGAACGAAACGCACGACGAGATATTATTATAGATACGGCTAGTAATGTCTATAATTTGTACGTTTACTCGATGCAATTACTGGCGGTAAACGTAACAGTATCTTGAAGTAGGCTCTCTCGAGGCCGCGGCAGCTATAATCGTCTCGCGCATATCGTTACACTTGCAATATGTCATCTTCGTTTTTGTAATTTATAAAGCCCCCCCCCCCCCCCCATGTTATGCGGGAAGAATTATGAACATTACACCGCTCGGCGGCGATTGATCGTCCATAACTTGCAGAACTCAACGTGTTTAACTTTGTCTATAGTAACGGAATTTTGATGCGGCATTTCTGATGTGAATTTTACATTGGCATGACAAACATCGGGGAGATAACGTAATCTGCGTTTATCCGTTTTACATCTCGCGACGGATAACGGCTTTCTCTGCTCCAGTTGAATAGGAAAGGACTGCGACTTAACTCAAGGGCCGTGCATCTCGAGATATTGCACAGGGTGTACTAAAAATCGTCAGTACTGTTCTCTCGGCTACAGATCCTTCGATCAATATTAAAATTAAAATAAAATCTTTAAATAATTTAGATTAATCTTAAATTAAACATTACTTAGTAAAAATTAAATTGGAAATATTTAAATCACAACTTTTTATTTCTTGAAAAGATAAATATCTATATAATTCAAGCCTCTCTGGAATTAGGATTATATGAAAACAAAGTAGGATTTTAAAATTAGATAAAGAAATCTTTTCAGTAAATTATTATTGATTTTACTATTAGTATCCGTGTTTGGAAGAAAGTTTTGGTACACCCTGTACGAAGAACGTGATGACATGCGTTACGATGGGCAAACCGCACTACGCACACGAATCCACATATGAATCGAGCGATGCGTATAAACAATGATGACGTAGCTGAAATATACGAAGGAAAACTTACGTTCTCTGGAAGTTGCTCGTGGGAATGGACAGTCGTGTCACTTCCTCGTGCTTCTCGGATGATACCTGAGAACATGATGATTCCTTTATAGTACATGTACATGCAATGTCGCGTTTATCATTAAAGTTTATTATAGCGTGTATTAGGATATAACAGCATGTATTAGGAGCTGCGAACACGTTACGGTATTTTCCGATAATAAAATCTTTATAAAATGATAAGATTACTATAAAAAATATATAATGACTATTTATTAAATCAACAAGATTAACAAGATTAATGAAAAATGATAACTTCTAATATATTTCAATCATTAGAAATATATATCATAGTAATACGTACACACATTATATTTCATAATAAAAAGATATTTTCTACAAAAGCGCAAATTTCCTAATTAAAAGTATTATTAAAAGTATTATTAAAATTATTTTTAATATATAATATCCTTTTTTTTTTGTTTAATTAAAGTGTCCGCGATTAATTACGTCCTCGCTATTATCTGATATCGTGTAATAATCGTTTTTATTATATTCGCTGTCAGTTTCCTGTAAGATCATTCGTATTTCTTGTCGCAGATGTTGCCAAAATTGACGATCCTGCTCTGGGCGGCAATTCCGATTGCGTTGTCTCAGAGCAACTATGCGTCGCAAGGTAACAGCATCGAGTATCAGCCGGGACTACCGCCGAGCACGGTCCTCGACGGCAAGGTCACCAAGCTGGACGACATCTCGCCGATTATATTTCTGAATCGAACCAAGGCCTACCTAAACTGTGGCCAGGGTAGCATGGAGGTCGAGCTCAAGTTCGAGGAGCCGTTCTACGGAGTTGCTTACGCCGACTTTGATCGCAACAGCGCCTGCATATTCAAAGGACGAGGCGCGACCACCGCTAAATTGGAACTACCTCTGAAGGGTATGTTCCGTATTATATATTTGATATTTATTTGCAATAAATAGAATAAATTTTTATTTCACAAAAGCGTAAAATTCTGTCATTCTCAGAAATAAATTGTTTATTAAGACATAAAATTAAAAATAAATCACATATTGTATATAAATATGCAATAATGATGTAACTATTGTAAAATTTAATTCGTATCAAACAATTTTATAGAACAATGTAATATATTTTTATTCAAAGCGCAGAGACAAAACGATCTCTGAAATTGATGCAATTTCATAGATTATTTTGATGCGATTAATGGTTTTACGAAATATTTCTCTTTTTAATTCAGATATAATTATATAGTCATAACTTGTTGCCTTTCAATGAGAAAGCTTTCTCATTTTTCTACCGCAATCAATTTTTAATTTTTCATCGTACGAAAACAATCTGCATTTCAGGATGCGGTACAAAGCAAGATCCTCTGCGTGTGTTTACCAATAATGTGGTCGTTCGCTTTCACCCCGGATTAGAAATGGACGGAGATGAGGTTATCACTATAGTCTGCAGATATCCCCCACCCGTAGCGCCTGCACCTCCAAAGCCTCCAGAGAGCATGTAAGAATTCTTTATTAAAATGCTTACCGGCAAAAATATATTTATCAGTTGTTTTGCAAAAACCAAAGGTAGAATTCGTTGGATCATTTTCTTAGTTTCATATTGAGATTTTTAATTTATTAAACAATCATTATATCTGTATATTAATTTAACAAATTTTAAATCAGAGAGAGGCATATTTTTTTTTAAAGTGGTTAAAATAGTTTATTCAAGATCCACATTCTCGAAATAATGGATGTCATTCTTGAATATTCTCGGTTGTCCTTTCTTTCAAGAGAACCATCGATTACTATCATTACGCTGCTAAATTTTGTGATTGACGTCAACTACCATCATCATGATGATTTATGAATAATTAAATTCAATTTCTTCAATCTCTTTTTTTTTTTTATTCATACATAATGTATATTATTAACATTCAGACAAATAAGAATTTAAAGAAACGAATATCACGATACACGTGCCTTTGCTATTTAAATTGTTAAGCATCTGTGATGGATGATTCATTTGATATCGCTGTGTTTGTCGAACGAATAAGGAAGAACGTTTTGCATTCAGGACATGTCGTAACTATACACACTTCTCTCTATTCCCTATAGTTCAGTTACTCTCGAGAACAGCTTCGAGATATCGCACTGTTAACTGTACTAGCACGACGTAATTGTTATTTGTGCTGTCTCTTCTTCCATTTCCAGGACACTTACCGCTCCGCTTTAATTTGATTTCCACCCGTAGATTGGCCACATTGACGCCCTCGCCGGTCACCGAACCACCGCTGAAAGGCTTCCAGATCCTGCTGATTATCTGCGCGATCCTGTTCCTCTCGCTGCTTCTGCTAGGTCTCGGCTGTTCCTACATGTGCCTGAAACGCCGAAACGTCCGCGTGGTCCATCGACATCCGTTCGAGAGTGGCACCGGCTCCGAGATAACGAAGCTTTCCGGCTCGACCCTGAGCAACATTACCATGTTCGAGGGCCTAAAGATACCACGCGCGCACGCCCTTCTTCACGCGACAGCCGCGTCCACTTCCGGTAGTGAGGCGAATCTGGTGATCGATCATTCGGACACGTTACCAAGCGATTATCCGAGCGAGAGCCACTCTGAGGTGAGTCCCGATAATTGTTGGCGAAGGCGGATGATTGAACGTCCAGCTTATTAAGCAAATATAAAACAAGAGCATATCGCTCTCGTATCTCATATCGTTAATCCTTTTAATATCGAGCTATGAATACAAACTTCTGTGTGTGTCATAAATTTTAATTTATTCAATCTACGAATTATTAAAAATTGTGTAATATTTTCGATACTTAATATCAATTTTATCATATGTACCATAAAATGCCGCTAAATTCAACAATAGTTATATATTCTAAATATTCATTAATCCATGACTTTATACGAAGAAATTGAAGGACATTTTCTAAATATTCTTTTAGTCAGAAAAATGCTAAGTAGATGCGCAACTGATTTACACAAATTAGCTCTGTCTTGTGTTCCTACAGGTGGACGAGGAACGTTCGCTGCCTGTATCCTCCGCCGGATCTTACGACAACAAGGCGTTCGTGGATCATCGCGAGATGCAGCATCAACGCCAGGTGGAAATGCGTACTTCGAGTTCCTTATATTCTGAGACAGTCGCCGCCGAAGTGGAAACCTCTTCGATGACAGCCGCGAACGCGTCCAGGATCATGATACCGCGTCACCCCGTAGCCGTTCCGCTCGAGCCCAAATTCGACGTACAGATGAGAGTGAAGAGAGCACCGCCGCCGCCGAGCCCGTTGCCATCGGAATCGGACGTGGCGAGCATCGCCCTCGAGAGAAATCTGACGACTATCCTGGAAAGAGAGGAATCTACTCGCTCCTTGGAAAGCGCACCCTATCGAATGACGACCTTCTCTTACGTCCCCGAGCTTCACGGACCACCGGGTGGTGCGTCCTCTGTTTCCACCATCTCTCGACAGCAGACGCCTCCGGTCTACTCGAGAATTCTGCGTAAACAGGCGGAACGGGAGACCACCGTGATTCAGGAGAAACTCCCATCGCCGACGACCGAGCAACTGCCCTTGCAACACGAGATTCGCCGGCCGAGATCCCTCACCTCCCTGAACACCGAGCTCACCGAAACTCGCTCGTTGACCGAGGTGACGGACGCATCTCACGCCAAGTATCGGGTGGCGAGCATCCTGGCGCCGACTCCGCCGCCACCGCCTTCCATCGCGCCGACCACGTCTACCACCACGACTCACACCGCCGTTCAACATCGCGAACACCGTCTGATACGCGGGGAGATGACCGAGCCGCTGGTCGAGCCGCAGATGGTCGCGCCTCGTCGTCCGGAAATTACGACCCATGAAGTGGACGATGTGTTTCTGCGCACCGTCACGGAGAAGAAGACGATCGAGGACGTGGAGCGTCATTCTCGCCAGGTCACCGAGTATCGCGCCAGGCCGCAACCGCCGCCAGATCTCAAATGGGACGTCACCATCAGGAACTATCCGACGGAGGATCTGCCACCTCCGCCACCGGAATGGGAAAACTTCTCCGATGTCAGTTCAGCTTCCAATTTAACCATCACGAATGAGCCGTCAAACGCCGGCGTGGACTACGAGCCGGACATAAGCATCGAGCCGACTTACACCACGCGCGCCGAGATTCCATGCAGGCCGCCGCCACCCGCTTCTCGTCGTTCCCTCGACGATGCCGATGCCGATTGGTACACTAGGCTGGCACGCGTCCTGGAACCGCGTTACGCCACCGAACTGACGGACGAGGAGCGCGTCAAGTGGCGCGAGATCATCACGACCGAGAGCACGCTACGCACTTTGCTAACCGAGGCAGTGGTCAAGGAGGATTACGAGCTGATACGCAAAGACGCGAGATACATCAATCTGTTCCCGCCGGCGAAATGGGACGTGATTATCCGTATTCTGAGCCCGCCACCAGCGCACACCGGCTCCACCTCGTCCTCCGGCCACGGTAAAAATCACGGACAGAGATACAAACGATCGAAATCATCGGAATGGGACACCAGGTCCAGACGATCCTCCCTTCCCACTCTGTATGAGTACGAAAGCGACGGTGGCAGCTCGGCGCGTACCTTAGGCACTCAGAGTCATCATCTGCAGACATCACAGTCCGCCACGACCATGATCGGTGGGCAAGGCCGTCCGCGCCGATTAGGCGGTTCTGTTCGTTCGCGAGGCGCCGGCGCCGGCGCCGGCAGCGAGGCCGATCTGAGATCGATGTCCGAGATAACGGTCCGTGATTTTGCCCGGATGGACCGGGACGATCTGACTAGCTTGAGTTCCTTTGAGGGCGCGGACTCCCTGGTCAGATCGCTCAGTCAGCCAAGCTTGGCCAGGTCAGGCTCGGAATTCACCGAACACTGGGGCATGCCTTCCGGCAGTCTGCCACCGTGGGCGACCGCGGAGGATGGCACCAGCTCTGTGGAAACGACACCGAGGGCGATCAGACGAGGAGACAGATTGGAGGTACTCGCCTCCTTCGACGAGCACAGACGAGGCCCGTCCGGCACGAGATCGAGTCGATACGCCGAGAGGGAACTTAGCGTGCGCGTAACGGAAAGTCAGAGGGCCTCGGACTGGTTTAACGACAACAACTCCGAGCCGGAGATGCAGATATAAGCGACTCCATATCACACCGATTCACGGTTTTTACTTCGAACTCCTAGATACATGAGCGACATTGTTTAATTTTGACGAAGGTCTAAATTAAGTCTGAAGGAATTAGAAATGAATTTTGACAATAGGCAACACCGTTTGTATTTTACAAAATCGAAAAGCTTAAGAGATAATTATTCTGTAATTTTTTGAGTAATGAAGTTTTTTCACACTGTCACTTTTACAATGAAACACGATTTTTGTAATCGAGTTGATTCCTCAATCGGTTCAATTAATTAAAGGAAAAATATTTCTTAAAAATAAAAATTATATTGAACATTTTCAGAAATTCTGTGAATAAAATCGAGAGCTTCCGAGAATCCTAACAGAGAGGATTGTCAACTTCAAATATTGTTTAAATATAAGAAGAGTACTGCTCAAAGAGAATCAAGAAACGCGAACTAGAAAGAGATTTATTAAAAGATCAAGAGACATTTTATTTTTCAGTCCTTCGCAACTCTTCCACAGATCCGCATGTCTTCTATTCTATTGCGAGTCACGATATGACGGATTATGATTTATACAAGCGCTCATATTTTTCTCACGGGCACTTTTTCGGTCGGTGACTCTACGTGACTCGCGCATTACGAGTACCACCGCTGTTTGTTTCGCTCTCAAGCGGAGACTTCCTGTATGATCGATATCTTGCCAAGAATGACAATGCACACGGACGGGCAGCGAAACACAAAACGTTTCGCGGAATAAAATTCATTTATTTGTTGCGACCAGTTCGCTATTTCTTTTTTTCGTCGCTTATATCGTTGCCCTACTTCCTCCTACAACTCTTGGCCGTTCACTGCCTGGATTCGCTGTCCATCGCGCCCGACAGCTTGCTCATAACCGCTCAAACTTTGAATTGTCCCAATTTCGCGACCGCCTCCCGAATCGTTCCTTCGATATCGAGATCTCCCGATGTTACAATATCCCGATTTTTCGAAAACTTGCTCAGCCGCCAGTCTCTTCACACATCACTCGTAACGCGTAGACGTAGATCATGCGAGTTGGCTTATCTCGCCCCGAGTGAGTCTGCAGATTCTGGCAAGAATATCATGAGAAAATCGTACACAATTTGCAGAAATTAAACCATTAAAGTCTATACTGACAATGCAAATTTTTTTATCGGTGTTAAAAATGTTTTATTGGTGTTTTTTATTGTATAACTGCGCTCTCAATATATTGAATCATTTTATGCATTTTGTAAATCCCAAAAAATATTGTCGAAAATATTTTACAACAATATACAAAATACGAATTTGAATAGCGTAATCTTATTCGAATATCTTCAAAAGGCTTGAATGGATTAATTAGCAACTGTGTTAACATTCGATTAACAGAGAAAATAACGCAAGAAAGAGAAAATGGCAGAAAATGTATATGGGAAAATAATAATTAATACAACGTAATTGCACGAGAGGACATAACGTTTGCGCGCGACGCAGCTTGTCCTCAGCTTCCTAACGTTCGATAGATCGCGAAGACCGATCTCTCTCTTCCTCTTTCTCTCTCTTTTTCTTTCTCAAAGATCGCAGGGGATCACTCGTAGCTCGCGATTAAAACATTCCCGTTTGCGATACAACTGCGATAATAGTCTACTTAAATAGGTAACGAAACACACGGTGCTGGGTTATATGCTTTACAAACGATAGCTAAACTTCTCTCTCCAAGATCATTTATCTAACCCCCTTCCTCCAAGCCTTCTATCCGATTTAAATGTATTGTCGTCGGAGTATCTGGGCTCGGCCGAGATACGTATCGACCGACACGGTACGTTCGCGCGTAGATAGGTATATTTGTAATTATATACGGCGTACCTTTATTGCTAATGTATAGTCACACGTATTAAATTTATGCGTAACTCTCTCATCGCGCTCTATCTACGTGCAGTCATTAGAGTTTACGAAGTCTTCCGAATCCTTGAACTGCGAAATGGGAATTCGGAAAGTTTGTAAATTACACTGATATATCAGAGCGCGATTATAGTTCTCATAGCGATCGCACGTAATTGCTCCGGAATTTCTACGTTTGTTTTGACAATAGCCAACGATTTGAAACGTTTTGCTTTCAAAAGATAATATTACCCTCCGCTTTGTTTGCGTATCGTTAAAATTAACGGATGTCAAAATTTGCGCGAACAAAGCACATTGAGATAACGCAAAACTAATTTCTGAAACAATATCAAACAATTGCACCAGCGAATTTTCAGATGCAATATGCAGTGTCGAAATGTAATAGCACCTAAAATAAATTTACTGTACATATATAATCTCTCAGGATATCTAGAATTTTTTTCGAAAAACGCATCGCGTTTGAATTATTTTCGCGCAATTATATATCGACAGTTAATGTACGTTGTATTTTAATTTGTATGTTGTAACGTTGAATTATAATATTTAACGATACTACCAATGTGTGGCAAAGCGATTGCAATACTGCTCTCAATTCATACACTATTCAATATAATCGATGTGCGGAATAAGAAGCTCGTAGAATCGTTCGATAGTTCAAGTTCGAGTGGATTGTTTGCGAGACAAATTCGTCCAAGGGCTTGAAATCGATATCGCATTTAAACAGATAATTTTCTGTAAATTTTGTAGAACGATGCGTAGAAAGCAGTCATTGCGGCCGCTTTCTTTACATGTGACTGTAAATCAAAATCAATAATAAAGTTATGCATTATATCTTAAACATCGAAACGAATATCACGTGCTAAGCGCACATATGGATCGATGAATAAAGCATAAAGTGCTCCAGCGCGCACGAAAGGAATATTAATCGCGAAAAATGGGATAATAAATCATATTGAAATATTACATAACAAGTGTTATCAACGTCCGAATTTTTATCTCGACGTCGGTTACATCGTCCTTTTAGAGCGTCTTCCAACAAAGACTTGCTATCGCGAGCAAAATTCAATGTCGAAGAAAGAGAAGAGAAAAATGCTTCAGATAAGAGAAATTAATGAAACGCTTGTACTTAACTTATGGGATTAGCGTGGAACAAGAGTGACGTGGAATGACGCGTGGAATTAGAAAAACTAAGGGTGAAATAGTGCGCTAATATTAGTGTTATATATAGAAATTAACATAACGGATAATTTTTATAGGGACGGCTCATCGTTTTTATATCAAATTTTGTAAAGGATGCGAATTGCGTGTGAATTGGTCGTTTTCACGAATCGAACGTGCCCGTGCAATATTCGCAAGGGTTTCCCGCGGGTGAAATTGGTGCTACTGGAATGTACATAACGAGACGAGGGATCAAATTAAAGGAAAATAGGGGAAACTGAGTCTGGTAAAATGGCTGAAACAAATATGCCAATACGCTCGCTGTCTTGACGGTACTGTTTCGATATAAGCGACGGATATATATAAGTTTGTATACTAAACTCCCCTAAATTGTAACTGCTAACAAATGTCGACAGCGCACGAATCGCAAGGTCTGAGTGCGTTATTATAAATCATGTAACCCTCGCTTCGTATTACTTCGCGGGAGATTAATTTACACGGCCCGACGTGTTGTCGAAGCTATGATAAAATAGCGCGCAACTTCAACAGCAATCGCGAATAAATGGAAAGTGTAATATGATCTTCGAGCGAGGTCGGGGAGAACATGCCTATTAATAAAATTGGTTACTAAAAGCGGCTTGTATTGTTACCCTTATTAACGAATAAATTTTTTATGATGACTTTACTGGAGAAATCTTATTCTAGCATATCCGTACAGAGAACATTATCTTTTTTACGAAGGAGATTACTGCTTCAAAACATTATCAGGAAAATACTTTCTCCCGATATTTGATAATTTTATTTATGCCATATTAAGCAAATGTACTCAGCTAGATCTTCCGGAAAGTAAAGAGATGATTTTAAATTTTAATTTCAAGAATACATAAAACATGCGATGTAAGAGAAGAAAAGTGTGGATGATGAGATTAAAATTGAATCCATCCAAATCTATTTTCCGAATACATATGTACCAACCTAATACACTTCCGAGTAATTAATCATTCCATATCATAGAAAAAAGAGAAAGAAAAGAGAAGAAGGTAAGAAATAGCATTTGAGAAGATGCCGAGACGAAAAGGCGTCTCTCGTGATAATTAGATCGCACCTCCTGCGAGAACTCATCCGGTCTTCTCGCCCAGAACAATCGGCGAAGCCGAGGAAAGAATGTGTCTAAATTAATTACGAGCCGGGAAAGAATTCTCCGCAAAACATCGGATCCATCGAGATCGACAGCAGCCTCGGGCGATCATGGCGAATGATCGCGAGGTCGCGTCGGAGAGAAAATAGAGAAAGAGAGAGGGAGAGAGTATGAAAGAGAGGGGAGAGACGGAGCGCACATATACGAGGGTGCCTCTCTATAATTGCTTCGCGAAGTCCTTTTGATCGATCCCTCGATGGAAAAAGACGTGTCCTTCCCGATCTTCGTTCTCCCCTCGCTTGGAGATATATGCGCTTGTTTTTCCGAAAATACGCGGTCCGTCCGAGCGCCGCACATATAGGTACATGTGTACTTTGCTTCTTCGACCATGCGGGGCGGATCGACGCATGCGTTTTTCCCGCGCACCCTTCGCGGAATTATCTTGGCCGTGAATCGAGCAGTCTTCCACGGTCTTTCCCGAGCTTGCTCGCGATCCGCGGGGGCGCTCCTTGGATTGAGGGACAATCGCGCGCATCAAGCCGCGAATTTCGCGAGAAATCCCGATTACGTAATATATATATATATATATATATATGTATACGCGACAGCGGGTATGTACCGTATAATGTGATACATTCTCTCAGTAATGGGATGACTCGAAGACGGTTGCGCTGCACATCCGGTGCGCGGCACGTGCGGCTTAGAGGTAAGCGAGAATGATGCAACGCACGTGAGATGCCTCGGTTAAATGTCATTACTCCTACAAAGGTGAATCCCCATCGTGTTAATGACGTAGATACTAGAGATTAGTCAATTGATTGAAAATTCGAATTTGTTGCAAAATGTTGACGATATAAGTGTAATTTGCACTCGTCGCGCATCGCTATATTCGGTTTAATTATCATTGTTAAGATACAACAATAGATTACCGTTCTCCCGTCATATCGCAAACTAGTTAGTAGTTAGGTTCATTCAAAGTGTACTTTGTTGCAAAATGTTTTACTCGCGCGACAACTCCGTGTCTAAACTATATAAAAGGGAGGATGAAATACGTGTCTAAAGCACATGCATATTAATTACGAGTTATATAGACGAGGTATATTTTATATAAAAAAAAAAAGCTCTCTCTCTCGAGTTTCGCAGCAATGTGTAATTTTATTCAAAATTAACTCGTGATTAAATTTTTCATGCAGAATGTAAAACAATTTTAATGAATAGTATTTGAATAGATTGATATCTATTTCGAGATTTAATCGACATTTTTACATATTAGCTTTTTATTTCTACACGATTGTTTTTTCAAAGAGGCGTACCAGGCTGGAACGAAGCGTGGATCGCAATCAGGCTGCAGCTAACCGATTATCTTTATAACGTATAAGTGAAGCGTGCAAAAAGTAAGTTTAACGATCAATAGAGGCCTAAGGCAAACGTCTGCGTAATCTAGCGACGTGTCGCGTGTAATGCATAAAAATTTTAATAGCGCGACCGGACTCGTTGATGAATTTGTATATTTAAATGGAAAATTTCAATTAATTGTCACTATCGGTAAAAGCTCGCAAATGGCCAATTAATTTTCACATGTAACGCTTTAATTGACATCCCCATGTAATAACACAAAGTTTAATTATCAAGATATTTAACGTTGAATGTAAAATCGCGCAAACAACGATTGTTTGAGGACACTTTCTCGTACAAGAAATCCACATTTGAATACTAGCCACGCGTAGAATCCTTATTATCTCATCGGAATTAAGATCACGCGAGGACATTTTCTAGAGTACTTGTAGAGTTTTAATATGCGTAACGCATTATCTGCGTATGTGTTTTACGGAGGAGAATAAATAGCGAAAAATAAAATACGCTTCTTGACGCAAACTTGCGTTGGGCTCTGGAAGAATTTCTATGATGCGTGAGCTCGTACATAGCTGACGCGCAGTAAGGGCTCGTGCACGATTACTCGTTTAAAGGGTAGGTAATCGTTTACGCACGAGTAACTTCGCGATACATAGACACTACGTGCGCGCTCGAGGTAGACGCGGAAGGGTACGCGGAATAATTTTCCAAGTTACATTTGCAGTTTGCAAATAGTAGCGCTCGTTGCAACTCACTTTGATTATGCGAGTCCGAGATATCTCGAGACTGACTGGGAAGAACTTTGCGACTCGCGAGGAGAATGTCAATCTTAACTTTGCTAATTTGTTCTTTTGTTTAAAATAATATTGACATTTATCGCGTTGAGAAAAATAATGCAGCACGATAAACATTTTCTTTCAGCCCGAACAATTTTTCACAGAATAATTCTAATGTTAGTATTTGCTATAGAAGAGAAACAATGCAATGCGATACAAATTTTTTCTCTCTCACAGCTTCAGTAAAATTCCAGTAAAATAGGTCTTTACGTAATATTACTATCCTTTAACATGAGATTGGAAAGTGCGATGATTCTATGCTCTTTTAGATTCAACAATCCCGATAGAGTGATTCATCTAATTCTATCAGTATCCAGAGAGAGAAAAAAAAACGCTGCAAAGATATTCTGGCAATTCTAATAATCTCAACGATGTAGCTTTTATCGTCAAACTTTAGCGTTTGTTATCGAAAAGGAAAAAGTAGCGACGCAAGGGAAATCCTCTGACAATAATCGCAATACAAGGTGGCCACACACGTTCCCAGCATCCACTCTCGGTCCATCGTTGATTGGATCGGTGAGGCGCGAGCGATAAACTTTAGTCGACGCGCACTCGCGCGAATAGCCGATACCGAGTAGGGAAGAGACGAGAGAGGGTGTTCTCAGGACAGGAGAGAGCGTCTACGGCGAGGGATGACAACGGCAAATACGTGGGGTGGTCGAAGAACTATGGTGGGGCTGGACGATGAGCGGCATACCGGCAACGGTGCGAGTTATGGTGGCGAACGACGCCGATGGATGGTGGGGTTGAAAAGTAGCGCGGCCATTTACGCTCGTACAGGATAAAACCGTCGTGTCCGCACCTGTGATCAGTCGGACCGACGACGAAGACTATCCGGAGGAGCGGAAGAGCCAGACGGGATGATCGCTCTTGACGAGACACCGAGAAGCGTCGTTCGCGACGAGAACCGAGACAAGCAGTATTTCTCTTCGCGACGAACGAAGACAGAATTCGATTAACGAACTGTGATCTCCCTCGATGAGAGTTTCGGTATAGCTACTTTTCCGCGGAGAAAGAGATTGACGTTAGGCGGCACAGAACGGAAAAGAAGCTTCTGTAACTAAGAGGGATCCGTGTTTATCCTGTAAACTTTGTTCGGGAAGTTTAAACTGGGATGCTACCACCGTCGCCGGAACGGAGAGCCAAAGGTACTCGCGGCGGAAAACTGGGTCTGGTGAGGATAAACTTCTTTGCGGCGGGAGATTACGCCGGTTGAATGGAAAACGACGGTGTTGTGACAAAAGAGCTCTTGGAAGAAAGGAACAGCTGTTTGGCGCAAAAGTTTTCGCCGATCGCGAACCCGAGATGCAATTGACGGAGATATAAATCGCCGTCTTCAGTCTACGACTTATCCGTCTGTTTCGTGAAAAATTATGACGCGTAATAACGATCACGTAACCGAATCGTGAACAACATCGCGAACAAACAGAGTGTTGTCGAAAAATGAGTTCTTTGCGGAGGACTATCAATCAGTCGGCGAGGGAAGGCACGTCCATGAGAAGGCACGCGCTCTCCGGGCCCACCACGAAAAGCATGAAGAACGTTACCCACACGAACGCGGTGCCGGCTTCGCCGCTACGATACAGGACCAAATACGAACTGCGAAGCATCAGTTTGGAGGGCAACAAGGTGCTACCATGGACCGCCAGGTGAGTCGATCTCAATTTTCTAGATAGCAGATCCTTCTTCCTCGCATACGTTGGAGGCGCGTCTCTTTTATTCTTTGTTACGTTAAACAATATTTATGGATATCGCAAAAGAAATTTCTTACTATTATTTCTAGTCGTTTCACTGCTTTTGCAAACCGTCATCGAATAGCAACTTTATTATAATTAACGCTATTTTCTCGCAACTGAAAGAAAAAATATTAATAATAAAAAATATGATAAAATTCTCATATAAATAAAATATGATTTAAAAGCTTTATATTATATTAATAAAAACGGGAAAATAAATTGTGTGTTAATTCCTATAAAATTATATACATTATTCATGAGAGTATAAAATATCTTATGGCGCGATAACTTGAAAGAACAAGAACTTGAAACTTTTAGTCTTAATTTCAAGAACTGATGCGCTCGATACAATCGTTACTGTACAGCGGGAGCTCGCGAAAGCGTGTGTTTCGTGTAATACGCCTCTTCAGTAGAATCAATTTTATATGTTCTACTTCGTGAATTGCTCGACACTAGAAACAGATATTGCCACGTCTTAGAAGTTTAATGATTCTGAGATTAGGGCATTAAAGACGGGTACGAAGCCACGAGCAAACCAATCAATCCGAGTATAAAGCCGAACAATCGCGGTCCCCGCAATAGGTTTACCGCAACTGCTGTCGCTTATACTGATATCGATTGA